GGCCCTTTCTACGGCTTTTATAAACCTCACTGTGCCCTGAAACTGCTGCCTCTTCCACTAGGCTGGGAGCTCCTCGAGGGCCAGGAACCGTTTCTGGGCCATTCACTTTTTGTGTCTGTGTCCCCAGCTTCTCACACGGGGCTCCACAGAGCAGACTGCGAGAAACATCTGCAGAAAAAGAAGAGGCCTGTGTTCCACAATGGCTGTGAAACAGCAGCTGAAACACCCAATCCGAGTCAGGAAAATGTGCTGTGCAAACGCCACACAACACTATGCATTCATAAAAAACAAAAACAACCTGGTGAGACCATGTGACATACAACCACTCCATGGAACCAGAGGCCACTGTGTTTAGCAAAACAAACTAGGCTCAGGACGTCAAGGGCAGCATGAGCTCACTCATCTTGGGTCTCCTAGAAGCTGAGAGTAGAGAGGTGTTCTGCTGGGGCAGAAGGAGGAAGGGAGGGACGGGGAGCGGGTGACCAATGGGGACTGAGCTACAGTTAGATAGGACAGAAGTTGTGATATACTCTTACCCAGTACAGTGACAGTAGATACCAGCCATGCACTGTTGCTGAGTTCCACCACTGAAACAACACTTAGATGACAATCACCTAGTTGAAGCAAGCTGGGCGTGGTGGTGCACACCTATAATCCCAGCACTGGGACGGTGAGGTAGGAGGATCCGGAGCTTAAGGCCAACCTGGGCCCCATAGTGAGACCTGTCTCAAAAGGTTGGGGATGTTGTTCAGTGGTAGAGTTCTTGCCTAGCCACCAAAGGCCCTGGGTTGGATCTTTAGCCCTGTAGAAGAAACACAGAAACATGAAAACAGAGACTTTCTTAAAAAAACACCAAACCAAAACAAAACCCCAAAGAACTTAAGGGAGAAAGGATTTATTTTTGCCTGATGGTTTCATAGGGCTGAATCCATTCTTTAAGGCCGGTGGCAAGACAGAAGCATCATGGAGGAAGAGGGTGGCAGCCAGGAAGTGAAGAGAATGACACGAAGGGGCCGGGGACAAGATCCAAGACACAGTCCCAGCAACCCACATCCTCCAGTCCCACTACCCACTGCCCACACCGTGAATCCATCCATTGGTCAAAGCATTCGTCAATTCACAGACACCCGGAGGACAGTGATATAGATCTGAGTCTCTCAATCCAAGCAAGGTGGCAATCGAGATGAACCATCACAATGGTACTTCAGAGGAAAGGATTTTGAAAGTTTTCACAATAAAGAAATGACAAATTTTTCCTGGGACGCGGGTGGCTCACGCCTGTAATCTTAGCTACCCAGGAGAATCGTAGTTTGAATTCAGTACTGCAAAAAAAAGAAACGACAAATTTTTGAGTAGCTGGGTTTAGCACAATTTCAACACTCCACAATGTAGACATGCACCAGAAATACCAAAATACCTCGTTTGTATGTACATTGTATGTTCTATCGCTTAAAACAACAACAACTAGTACTGGGGTTTGAACTCAGGACCTTGGACTTGCTAGGCCGGTGCTCAACCACTTAAGCCATGCCCCCAGCCCTTTGTGCTTTAGTTGTTTTTTGGGTAAGGTCTTGGCATTTTGGCCCGGGCTGACCTGGACTGCCAACCTCCTACCTAAACTCCTGCATAGCTGGGATGACAGGCATGCACTAGCATGCCCACCTAACTGATTGAGATGCTAACTTTTTGCCTGGCTAGCCTCGAACTTCAGTCCTTCCAATCTCTACCCCCACCCCAGTAACTGGGATTACAGGCATGAGGCACCACACCCACCCTTAAAATTTATTAAAAATGCTTTGAATTTTTTTAAATGCTATTATCTGCCCGTAACACCATGGGACAGTGAACTGAAAATGTGCATATTGTGAGAGAGATTTCACCCGAATTTTTGCCCAAGACCTACAGAGCATCTGAGGAGGTCTAGATTGGCTGGGCAGTCTTATCACCAACTTTTGGGCATGTAACAACTTCCTAAAGCTCACAAATAGTGAATGGAGGGGGGAGATTTCATTCCCCACCCTCCAGAACAGAGTTCCAAATTGTTAAGATGTTCAGTCTGCCTCCTCCTATTGCAGAAAAGTGTGAGTTCATGACCAATTTTCAAAATAGGAACATTTCAGCCAGGCATTGGTGGCTGTAATCCTAGTTACTTTGGAGGCTGAGAGCAGGAGGATGACAGTGCGAGGCCAGTCCTGGCAGGCACTTCACGAGACCCCACCTCAACCAATAGCTGGGCACAGTGGCACACACTTGTCCTCCCAGCTACTGTGAGAAGCATAAATAGAAGGATCAAGGTCCAGGTCAGCCTGGGCAAAAAGTGAGACCCGATCTTAAAAACAACTAAGGAAGAAAAAGGCTGGAGGTGTGGCTCAAGTGGTAGGGCACCCGCCTTGCACACTCCAAGTCCTGAGTTCAAACCCCAATACTACCAAAAAAAAAAAAAAAATCCTATGTCCAAGATTTCCTGAAAACTCAGGATCTAACCACATCAGGTCCAAGTTTCCCATGTGACCCCAGTGAACCGGAGATGGGACAGGGTTCTAATTGCACCACAGTCCCATCCAGCTGGCTGAGGTCTTTTATATCAATGATCTGATCCCTTTGGGAAATGGGATCCCCCTCAAAGCCTCAGTGCTCAGAAGGATGTTAGTGGTTTCCAAGTATTTTAACCAGAATTCCCTCTTTTCAGCCACTCCTAGGAAAGCGCCCCCAGAGAACACAGCTTGAAAACCGCTTTTGAATCCTCTCCTCCCTTTTCAGATAGGTAAACTGAGGCCCAGAGAGGGAAGGGAAGCCCTGACTGCTCAGCATAGCCACTAGCCCACTGTCCTTAGGGAAGTCATGCGTGTTGATAATGGTGGAAAAAGGACAATGGAGACTGGTTCTTCCCTTGGGCAGCTGTTTGCTGGTTCCTAGAACTGGTTCAGCTTCTCACCAGGAGCCTGGCCACTCTCAAGCCAGCTGATTTGCATAAATGTTCCCTGGAAGGGAGTTGCCCAGTGGAGATGGCAGGTGGTCAGAGGCTGTCCCATGTACCAGCTCTGTCTGAAGTCCTCTTCCAACCCTCATGATATGGACAGAGATCAACAGGGCTACCATTTGGCATAAGGGATTCTGACACTTGTAGAGTGGGTGGAGGGACCGATGGATCATTCCACTGGGTTCCACAGCAATGATGTGTCTAGTGGCTTCCACCCAGTAACTTTCAATAAATAATCTAACCTCTCTGTGCCTCACTTTCCTCACCCGTACAGTGGGGGTGACTCGAACAGTACATAAGTCTTAGGATTCTTTTGGGATTCAGTGAGATAATTTTTGGCACACACTAAGAAAAGGACTGCAGGATTTTTTTTTTTTCTTCACTGCACTTATCAGAAGCTGATATTTTTGTGGGCATCTTTATTTAGTGTCTGTCTGGCTTACTAAATGACTCTCCATGAAGGAAAGGCCTTGTTTGTCGTCCTCTCCTTTGCTTCCCTGCCTAGAACAATGCTTGGCACCACAGAGTTGCCCCATACATATTTGTCTGCTGAGCCAGTCGCCCTCTTTCATACTCCTGCTTCAAATGCCATTGTCATTGTCCAAGTCACCTGGACCTCCACCAACGAAGTTCAGAGAAGTTCACAGCAGCCCTGGACACCGACCCCAAACGTCATCAACTGGGCTCAGTGCCTTGAGCTATTAAATGACACTTGTGTGACTTGGTGGGCAGAGCCGTAGCTTGGAGAGTTGGTGACCGGGCAAAGTGGAGTGGGCTGCTGAGCCCCGGCAGGTAAGCCCAGCAGTGAGAAGGCAAGGATCAGGGGGCATGGACCCCATCCCACCCCACCGCAGCCCCGGAGAAGGCAAAGCTTCCGAAAACGGATGCCCAGTTCTGGCAACCACCTTGTTGGCACACGGAGAAGGGAATCCGTGCATCCCACGTGTCCTGAGAAACAAAATTAATTTCTCGGGGGAGGGAGAGAGTTTGCAAACTGTAAAGTGCTGCTGGGAGAAACAAGGTTTAAAAAAGACAAGGTCAGGCGAGGAAGCAGATGTGTTCGATGAGCGCGGGCTGCGAGGCAAGTCCCTCTAGCTGCGACGCGCGGCCCCCGAGGTGGCACGATTGGGGGGACCCCAGGAGAGGGGGGGAAAGGGCTTCTCGGGGAGCCTGCAGCCCCGAGGGCGCGCGCAGGGCGGCTTCTCCACCCGCTCTCCCTTTCCCACCCCGCGCGCGCGAAAGGCGCAAATTCCCCCTCCATCTGCTGCGCGCGCTCCAACCTGGCTCGGGCTGGAATCGGGGTAACCGCTCCGATGATTATGTAACTCCCCGAGTCCAGAGACATAATCCCAGGATAGGGGTGACAATTTTGGGGGGTTCCCTCACCCTCCCCACAGTGAAAAGTTACAGAAGCGAACATAAGTTAGTATACAGATACTCAGAGCTCCATCACTCACAATGAATTAACTAACTGTTGACATTTTGGCTTCTCTCTTTAGTCACCAATTACCTTTCTCTCCTTCCTCCCCAAGTCCCAGCATATTTAATCCAAAATAAATCCATGTACTTCTCTTTATTAGTCTTCCTCTCCATCCCCACCCCAGATTTATACGAAAGAGTAAATTCCTAGACCTCCGGAATCCTCGGTGGGCTTCCGGACACGGCCAGGTCTGCAAACATCTGGCCTCAAGGATCCCGCGGAGGTGGCGACCCTCGCAGTGCCCAGCTGCCTCTTCCCCTGTTGTTCCAACTCCCGCGTGCAACTTTGCAACTCACGCTCCGGCCGGAGGCCTATTTGCTCAGCCCGTTTGGCGGAAGGATTCCTCACGCGGACGGTTGGACGCTCAACCGTCCCCGCCCCCTCCCGCGCTCTGGCCCCGCCCCCCCCCGCGCCCTGGCCCCGCCCCCTCCCACGCGCCCTATGGCCCATAAAGAAGTCCCGGCCGGGCCGCTGCACTCCCCCGCGCGCATCCGTGCGCCGCCCGAGGCTGGTTGAGGAGTCGGCGGCCATTTTGTTCTTCTCGTGGTTCCAGCGGGGAGAGAAGGAGGAAGCAGGGAGCGGGGCGGCTGGGTGGGGGGGGACCCGCCGCGGCTGCTGCCACCACCGCCTCTGTGCTCGTGGCGTGGGGGAAGGAGGTGTGAGTCCCGGGCGCGAGCCGGCGGCGGCGCCGCTGCTGCGGGAGGGCCGGCGGCGGGAAGGCGATGGCGGATATAGATAAACTCAACATCGACAGCATCATCCAACGGCTGCTGGAAGGTGAGGGGGGCGGAGGGGGCGGGCCTTCGGGGGACCCCCGGGGTTCAAGGGAGGGAGCTGAGAGCCGGTTGGGCTGCGGCGCCCCGGGACTGAGCCCCGAGGGGACCCGGAGGGCCGCCGCGGGGAGGCCGGCCGCGGGGTCCCGAACTCGGCGCCACCCTCCGCCCCTCGGGCTCCGCTCATTCATCGCAGTGGGAAGCATCCTTTCTGCCGGCGGTGGAATTTGAAAACTCCGCGAACCCGGGGCGGGGGGAGGAAGAGGATTTTGGCGGGGGTCGAGGGTTCCCCTGTGCCACCCGCCGCAACGCGTGTGCCGGACTTTGCCCGGCCCGATCGGGCTTCCGGTCCTCGTCCTTTCCGCAGGCGAGTTGATGGTGTGTGTGTGGGTTCCTCCGGGCTCCGGGCCGTTTTTCCTGTCCCCATGGCTTTTCTGTTTATATTTTGCGGTTCTGGCGGTCAAGGGACTCGTTTCTTGTTACTTGGCGACGCGGGGGAGGTGGGACCCCCCCCATCTCCTCCAGCTCTACCCCCAAACCCCCCCCCCGAAGTCTTTCCGGTCGCCCTCGCCTCGGAGCCGTCCCGGCTGTGTCCCGAGCGTGCATCTGATGCGGTGACTGTCGCCTCACTGGCTTCCCAAGTGCCCGGCTCCGCGCAGAGCGCCGGCCGCTCCTCCGATTGTCGCCGGGACGACAATGACAGGGAATGCTCCTGCCGTCCAAGCTATGGAGAAGGCATTCGGTGCTCTGTAGCCTTCTCAACTGTTTGACCGAAGAAATTAAGGACTAGAAGCCAAGTCGCTGGACCAAGGTCACACGGTTAGCGGCAGTGAGGTTCAAAGGTCAGCAGTCAGGAGCTGGAACTTGCTGCATCCCACTGTCGCCCTGTGTAGAAGGAAAGGCGGTGGGGGTGGGGGGGAGGCATCGTGTGGCTAAGGAAAGGTTAAAATCCAGCTTTCTCTGGGGCTGACCTGACTTGGAAGCGCCTGGCGCACGATTGACAAGTGGGAGAGGGAAGCTGAGTGGAGCTGCCCTCAGATTCAAGAGCCTGTATGTGGACGTCCTGTCAAGACTTGGGAAGATTCCAGGCAAATCCCCTCTGGATTTGGGCACCCGATCTGTGAGATGTACATGCCTGTCGGGGATCCGTTTGAGACCGTGGACAGTTGGCCAGTTCTGGGAGCAGATTTTTTTTTTTTTTTTTTGGTGGTATGGGATTTGAACTCAGGGCCAACACCTTGAGCCACTCCACCAGTATTTTCGACATGGGGTTTAGAGAACTGACATCTGCAGTGTGCGGGACTTTGGCCGGCTGGATTGGCTTCTGGTCCTTGTCCTTTATGCCTTTGTTTATTGATTGATTTTATTAATTTTTTGGCGGCTCTGGGGTTTGAACTCAGGGCCTCACACCACTTACTAGGCAGAAACTCTTACCCCTTGAGCCACTCCACCAGTCCCTGGGGGCACATCTCTTGAAAGCAGTTGAAATAAAATGGAGGTCATGTCCTTAATCTCTGTGTTTTTCCCTTTTGTACTTTAAAGAACATCTCTAAAGACTCCTGAAATGCTCTTCATATGTTGCTGCCATTTGTAGGTGAAAGCCTTGTCCTTTATTCGGTCCCTGGCATATGTGAGAACTATTTTTCGTTCTAGTCAGTACAGTTCTCTGTGAGGCAGAAACTGATTAAAATAGTTTGCCATAAGAAAGGAACTTTTATTAAAATGCTTTGGTTTTAAGTTTTTTCTCTTGATTTGTTGCTGTACTGGGTTTGAACTCAGGACCTCACCTTGCCTTTGGTGTCTAGGTGCTCTGCCACCTGAGCTGTGCCCCAGTCTGGTTCTAAAGTTTGAAAGTGAACATTTGCACTGGGTGTGTGAGGCCAGACTGGAGAGGGCTTTGTTTCCCTGAGAGCAGGAGGGATTGGATTCTGAGGGTGGAGCAGGGAGGTCTGATTAAGTTTTGGTTGCCCTTAACTGTGCTGTGCACATTACAGATTGTACATTTAATCTTTAGAATTGTGCTGAAAATTTTGCCTTCTTATATTTCTTTTTTTTTTTTTTTGTTGAAATTAATAAAGTAGTGCCCTTAAATGCCTTGGGAATAGGCTAACTGATAAACGTGTTTAAGTTCCCTTTTTTCTCATGGATGTTAAATTGGCACGGAGACTGTTGAAGAGCATCTATTGAGGATATGTATAGAGCTCAGAGGATGTTAATAATTTTTATGCCTTTTTTCCCTAAAACATTTTGAGTGAGGAATTCTGAAAAGGAGAAAATACGGCTTTTGTGACCTTTTTTTAAGCTTTTTTTTTTTTTTTCCATGTTATGCAGTGATGTTTTAAGCTTGAGTTCTGCATGTTAGTTGAGAAGTGGTTCAGTAAGTTGTACTAAGCAGGCAGCTCAAAAGTGGGTCTTTAAGAAAAACAGCACTTTGGTTTACTTAAGCACTACAGCTTTTCCATAAGGCAGGCCAACCTGAGGCTCACCTCTGTAGTCTTTTTGCAAGGTCTTGTCTTGCTAATAATAAAAACTTAAAAGTTGTTAGCGTCTTAGTGTAGCTGACAGTAGCTACTTAAGAAGAAAAAATAAACTTTTTTTATTTTTTTTAAATAGCAGTACTAGGGTTTGAGCTCAGGCAGGTGCTCTACCGCCCCAATAAACTAGTTGGTGGTTGGTCTAATACTCAGTTGTGTTGGGCACAGGTGAGGTTTGGGGCATTTTTACCTGTGAACCTCTCAAGGAGCAGCATTTTTCTTCATTACCAAGTGATCATGCCTCCAGGTTTGCAAGAAGCATCCTGTGCTAAAGAAGACCATTGTCAAACTATGAGCATGCTTTAGTGATTTAAATACACCTGTTAGCATGGGAAGCTTTGGCCAGTTTGCTCTCTGATACATGGGCTCTTTCTGAAGGTAGTGTTCAAATGCTGAAAATCAAAAACTGTCTAACCCATGTGCTTGGCTTTCGGTGTAATACGAAACATGTTCACCTTCTAGTGTTTTTAAAAGGCAGCAGTCCCAAGTCCTAATGGTGATAAAAGATTTTTTTTTAAGGAGTTTATTTTTTTTCCCCAACCCCCAAAAGGAGTTCTTAAAATGTTGAGGAAAAAAACCAGAAGTCATCTTTCTTAATGGACATCTGCGGTTGCTTTTACCCAGCAGATAATTCAGCAGTGACACCCAAGTTGCGTGTGTATGGCACCGTAACTTACAAGAGATAGCCTGTTGATGGCATGCACACTGCCTCACTTGGGGGACAGGCAGGGCAAGACTGCTTGGAGGAGATGAAGTTCTACAGCTTGCAGGAAACCTTTGAAAAAGTACACCATGGAGAAGACTGCTGTCCTGGTGCTGTCAGTGCTGGTGGAAGGCAGTGGGGAAAGCAGGCACAGGAGCCCTGACCAGCTCCTCAGAAGTGGGGAACAGAGGTGGGCTGGGCCATGTGCCAGCCCAGCAGTAGTTATGGTAGAAGTTGGTGAGGTAGTTTTATGTCCCCATGACTGACTGTTCTGGAAAACCATGTGCCAGTCAGTCCACTTGATAAGGGACGACTCCTGATCTTGAGACAGACATGACTGATGTTGTGCAGACTAAGCTGCTTTGTTTAATTTACAGTGGGGCTGTTAGATCTTAAAGACTGAGAGAGAATATTCTGGGTGTGAATTGCATTGTAGATGAATGAGGAAGTCTCAAAGGCGTATCTAAGACAAATAAGGAAGTTTTTCCTTGGTGCTGAAATTCTGAAACAAATTTGTTTTAGAATCTAACCTGTATCCAAAGTATGAGGAAAATGGGCTGGTGCAGTGGCCCAGGTGGTAGAGCGCCTGTCTAGCAAGCGTGAGGCCCTTAGTTCAAACCCCAATACTGCCAAAGAAAAAAAAAAGTATGAAGAAAAGATGATTTATTTATATATCTTGATGATCTATCTGAAACCTCCAGTTTCTCCAGAAGACTACAGTTTATTGGCATCCTTTCTTTGGAAGGGAGTGGGCATCGCCGATATTAAGGCTTAAAGGAAATTGAAACTCGTGTGGGGTCAGATGTAGAGTGTGCACTGAAACTTCTGAAAATATGGAAAATGGAAAGCTCACCATTTTCAATGAGTTTACTTCACCTTAGGTGTAAAAACCAAGACACTTCATTGACAGCAGCAGGCCCTGCCTGCTGGAGAAAGTGGGTGTCACCTTTAAGGCCTGAAGTCTGCATGACACCAGCTGTTACAGCAGTGCTGTGGGGACAATTAGACGGTCAGGCAGTGGAAGTCTTCCTGCTAGTGGCTGCAAAGAAACCAAAAGATTCTATTTTTTCCCCCTTTTTCTTTTTCCTTCTTCCATGTGGTACTGGGGTTTGAACTAAGGGCCTCATACTTGCTAGGCAGGCAAATAGGCTCTACCACTTGAGCCATGGCCCGAAAGTATTTTTCATTTTTTGTGGGTTGTTTTTTGGTTTTTGTACTGGGGCTTTGAACGCGGGACCTGTGCTTGCTAGGCAGGCACTCTACCACTTGAGCCACCCTTCCAGTCCCCTAAGGATTCTTGATACTGTTTTTGTGGTTTGCTTTTTTTTTTTTGGTAGAGGATAACTTGGTTGGTTGTGGGAAAGTTTATGTTGCAATTGTTTAGTGAGTTTTTTAGTTACTTGGTTCGAGGTCTTCCCTAAACTTAACGGGTCTCTCTTTCTGTGTATGGTTTTCCTGTCATTGCATAGAACACAGGGATAGATAGCTTTAAGCCCAGGTAAGAGCAGAGCTGCAGTTTGTAGTTTTCATTGTAGCTACTATAAGATAGAGACACTTGAACTTTCTGTCCATCTTTGTCTTTTGAATGGTGTCAGTAGTATTACTTGTTGTCCAGATGGTATAGCTGTAGTCACAGCATGTATGTGATTTGCTCTTCCCTATTTATCCTAGTTATCCGCCACCTCCACGAGGCTGTAAGGAAGGTTCCAGGGAAAGGGAACTATTCTGCTGCCAGGGTGTCCCCAGCATCTAACTCAGTAGCATACAGAGGGAAAGTGGCACACAGCAGATGCTCAGCGGCTCTGTGTAGTGCAAATTGGCCTTGAACTTATGGTCCCCCTCCCCCTCCCAAGTGCTGGGATTACAGGTATGACCTCACCACATCTGGCTGAGTATGGCACTGTTGCTTTATAATTTTAAAGTCCAGTAGCAGGTTTTTTACTAGTCAAAAAGATACCATCTCAGAGCTGAGTTGTGGCTCAAGGGTAAAGTGCCTGCCTAGCAAGTGGGAAGCCCTGAGTTCAAACTCAGGTACCACCCAAAAAAAGGTATGTAGTCTAGTCTCATGAAGTGACATGTGCCTATAATCCCAGCACTCTGGGGGTTTAGGCAGGATTTCACGTCAAGCCAGTCTGGGCCACATAGACAGATCCTGTCTCAAAAAGAAAAGCAAAACAGAATGAGAATTAAAAGTATCATGAATGGTGTCTAAAGGTGGTGGTGGAAAGCTCCCAAAGCCAAAAAAATTTGTATTTGCAACATTGATTTAATCTGATGGCATTGATTTACTATAGCTTTCATATCTGTACAGGTATAAGCCAAATGTTACAGAACTGCTCTCCTGAAAGACTTAGATTGGGCCACTCATTCACAAGTTTGGAATTCTGCTGAAGAAAATTCAGATTGAAACCAGAAGCTTCTAGGAGTTCCCTCCTAGCCAAAAATACATTTTCCTGCTGGGCAGTCTGCCCAGGTTTCTGGCTGACTTATAGAATCCCAGTGATGAGGGTTTTCTGGCCAGTGAAGCAGGGATCCAACCATCTTTCCTTCCATCAGGGGTGTTTCTTGAATTCCATGTCTGGATAGAATAGGACAATTACTACAGTTCTTCTAGAAAAAAAGAATTTTTTTCCTCAGTTGGTGTTTTATTCCATGTGTGTCTGAACTATCTCCTCTTAAAAATTAATTGCTGTGCCTGCCTTCTTGTTCTTGTTTCATGATCCTTTGATCAGAAAGAAACTCAGTCTTTCAGTCCAGTTATACATTTTGGGACACAAAGTAAAATGATTTTCCTAAAGTTACATAATTAATCTGGTAACTTCGGCTCCTGGCTGGTGCCTGGTTCAGGCATGTCTGCTCATCTTCTTCACTTTGTGCTTCAAGAGTTTATCCCTTCTCCCTCATCATCCTTCCTTAATTTTCACTGGAAAAAATACTCTGCGTCCTGTTCCACTTCTGCTCAAGAGAGTTCAAGGTTTTCAGCAACCATTTGTGCTGACAGGTGGCTTCACCTGGTGTACTACTTCTCAACAAACATACCAATATTTCCCCTCATAATTTTTATGGTCACTTCAGATATTTACAGAGCCAAACTAGGCACAAGCCAGTTAAACTTTTTGCTGTTGTTCAGCTATTGGGCCAAATGATTTTACAATCTGAATACAAAAAAAAATGCCTGCAGAACTATCGAAATTTAAATTGGCAACATGACTTAATCTGATGGATTTTGTGGTTCTGCTAAAACAAGATCCCTTGATACTGACTGTAATGGTGGAGAGATGTAGCCTTAATTTCTTTCAGTCCGGTCCTGTATTTTCACTTTAGTTTAGAGAATCTCTGCTTTTGTACCTTTGATGAGGTACAAAAACAAGCATAAACAGTTGGATTCAAACACAAGGAAGAGAATCAGGCTCCATACTTATCAGATTCTGCTGGCCAGCAGTGGTGTTGGGTTGCCTTAGCAGTTTGGTGTTATTTAATCTGTGTTTAATGACTGCTCTGTTACTACTGGACCAAAACAGAATTTCTTCATTGCTACCACTCCTTACCTACTGCTACCTTCGGCAGCAGACAGACCTGAGTGCTCCGAGCCACATACCGTGGGAGTATCAGGTGCCTGTGCTGTGTAACGACTTTCTCCCGTTGCTTTTATCTGTTTTGCACACGGTGTCATCCTTGGCCATGTGTACTCATGATTATAAATGCAAATGCAGACACAAAGGTTGCTTAAGAAAATAGGGTACAATGAGCGTATTTTGTTTAATGAAATGAAAACAACGCTTGAACTTCTTCCTGGATGAATCAGATTCTTGAGATCCTCATCATCCTCTGAAGAACACTGATGGGGAGAAGATACAGTGCGTTTCTAACCCCATGTGTTAAACTAGGCAGTCTTAGGACAGATGTGCCGAGCAGATGTGCAGAGATTGAGAGAAGTGCAGGTAGTGAGCTGGAGCCGGGGGCCGCAGGGAATGTGACCTCGGCACTAGTGAAGGAGGACTGACGCTTAGACGGGGTGATCCCCTTGTTCAGGAGGGAGCCTGTTCTATGAAGGAGTCTTAGCTAGTATAAAGGGTCTAGCTGAGTCTGAAGATCTTGAAAGTATCTTGAACATATGTTTTGGCCCCCTCTTTTTTTTAAAATTTGTGTCTTCTCAAGTGTTTAAAACTTCTGTGTTAAAGTGTGTTTTGAGTTGATTGGACTCATTGGGGTTTTTCTCCTCTGCAGTGAGAGGGTCCAAGCCAGGTAAGAATGTCCAGCTACAGGAGAATGAAATCAGAGGACTGTGCTTGAAGTCTCGGGAGATCTTTCTCAGCCAGCCTATCCTACTAGAACTTGAAGCACCACTCAAAATATGTGGTAAGTTTTGGCGCACTTGAACTGTCTTTGGCTACGTGCTTGATTAACGAGATGGATGTGCTGCTGGTTTTGTATTAGCTAGCAGAGTCTTCCTGTTTCTGGATAACCTGGTTTAGAAGAAATACCTTTAACGGACTCGGTTTACTCAGCTGCGCTTCAGATTTTTAAAAGTTATTTCCCTGAAGGATCTAAACACTGCAGAGGAAATAAGCCGACTCGAGCTAAGAAAAGTATACAAGATTATAGTGGAGCTTAAACCTACACTGCTTGTAGCTAAAACTAGAACTTGTGTTTGCTTCTGGGTTTGTGCTTACTGGTACACAGTAGAAGCAGATAATACTCTGTACATGCTAAACACTAAACTTCATTCCCTGAAGTAGTGATACATTCTTGTAGCATTTGCTCCATTGATAAGGCTTCTGTTTTAAAAGTGAAGTGTTCCCTTTTGGCATTGTCTGGCAGGGAACAATGAGAGCTGAATGCAGTAGTGGGTGTGCTGCTGACATAGGACCCTGAGACTGAGCTGTTGGAGATCAGATTGTGATCAGCCAACCTGAAAAGGAAACCGTGTTCCTTGGCAAGAATGCACACCGAGACATCCTGCTTTCTACAAAATAAATTCTGCATTAGTTGAGTTTTGTGTGAGGTTCTGAATATACCCTTAAAGTTTTTATCACAGTCAGTTGAACTAAATATGATACAAGACTGGAAATAACCGAGTGTTGACTGTCAAATGAACCTCTTGTTATAGGTAATTGCATTGTGCAGTAAGTAGTCAGAGAACTGAGCTGTATGTGTGGTAACACCGTATAACCAAGTTCTTGCCTCTAGGTGACATCCATGGGCAATACTATGATTTACTTCGACTTTTTGAATACGGTGGCTTTCCACCAGAAAGCAACTATCTGTTTCTCGGGGACTACGTGGACAGGGGGAAGCAGTCATTGGAGACCATCTGCCTCTTACTGGCCTACAAAATCAAATATCCTGAGAATTTCTTTCTTCTCAGAGGGAACCATGAATGTGCCAGCATCAATAGAATTTACGGATTTTACGATGAATGTAAGTACATCTAAAGAAGAGTTAACGTAAATGAAGATACTTTGTCACAAACTGGATTGGGACACTTTTCTTGTTAGGGTTTAGGAGAGTTGGATGTAATGTTGTAAGAGCAAGCTCTTTCTTTATTATCGTGGGTTTTCCTTTGTTAGATAGAAGATGTAATACCTGAATTCCTTTATGTGCTGATCAGATTGGAAGTAAGGAACACAGTAATGGTTTCTTTAAGATAATTGTTGTGAGTACAGTGTTCACAATAACTTTTTTTTTGGTCTTACTGGGGCTTGAACCCAGTGCCTTCACCTTGAGCCACTCCATGAGCCCTTGTTTGTGAAGGGTTTTTCGAGATAGGGTCTTGAGAACTATTTGCCCGAACTGGCTTTGAACCACAATCCTCCTGATCTCTGCTTCGTGAATAGCTAGGATTACAGGTGTGAGCCACTGGTTCCTGGCTAATATTCACAGTAACTTAATTCTTATTAGTACAACCTGAGAACCTGTCCAAATAGACAGCATTTTAACAACTTTATTGAGATAGTTTCATTCCCTAAAATCCGTTGACTTAAAGTGTACAATTCAGTGGTTTGTAGTTACTTTATAGAGCTGCCAGCGCCCGGTGACAAATCGTATTTGTAAAGCTTGAGTGGTTGAGTGGAGGAGTTTTTGTTCCTCTTTCTAAGCAAACATAAAATGTCAACAGCTTTTGAATGCTTGTCTCCGCTGTCCTTGCTTTAGATATTGCTGCTAGGAGAGGGTTCAGGTTGGGAGCAGAGGGGTGGTTAATGAATTTTGGTTACTTAGCACTTATTAAAGTGACCAGTGGGGTCAGTGAAGGATTGTCACTGTGGCCCTCCCCGTCATGCAGTCAGAGCCTGTAGTCACTCAGAACAAGATGTTTTCTCTTTTGGTGGTTCTGAGCTTTGAACTCAGGGCAGAACAGGATGTTCTTTCTCTCAGTCACAGAGATGTGTTGATCAGACCCCTTGAGAGACATGTTCATAGACTTCGCCTTTCCACAGCTGGATGCTTTGTTTCCTGTATGGCCTTGAGATCAGTGGATGAGAAGAGGTGGGAGGGAGTCATTGCAGTCAGCTCTCCTTAGGTAGTGAAGTTGACTTTTGTGATGGTGTGCTTTACATATTTATTACAGGTTTTACTGGGGTGTTGGGTAAGGAAGGGTTCCCTTTACACAAAAAGGAAGTACTGTGTTATCTCGATGAGGTCCAAATCCAGATGGTCTCTGTTGTGGCCTGTCACAACAGGTGATTTGGATGTGATGTGATGGTTTGGAGTTGCATTAGTCGCAGTTTCTA